ACAATAGATCATTCTTTTAGGCATGGTTGTTTAATAATAGACCATTCATACGAGTAGGGTCGCCTCTCAATTGACCATTCTTTCGAGCGGGATTGCCTAATAATAAATCATTAACTTAGGTAGGGTCACCTCATAATTGATCATTCTTTCGAGCGAGGATTGTCTAATAATAGATCATTCACTTAGGTAGGGTCACCTCACAATAGACCATTCTTTTAGGCAAGACCGCCTAATAATAGACCATTCATACGAGTAAGGTCGCTTATCAATTGACTATTCTTTCGAGCAAGATCGCCTAATAATAGATCATTCACTTAGGTAGAGTCACCTCACAATAGATCATTCTTTCACGCGGGGTCGTCTAACAATAGACCATTCATAAAGGTAGGGTCGCCTCTCAATTGACTATTCTTTCGGGTAGGATCGCCTAATAATAGATCATTCACTTAGGTAGGGTCACCTCACAATAAATCATTGCATATTCAATTTCGAGGGTAGGTCGCCCTTTACAATAAGACCACGCATGACACGTTTAATTTTTCGGGGTAGGTCGCCCTTTACAACAAGGCCACGCATTGCACGTTTAATTTCGGGATAGGTCGCCCTTTACAATAAGGCCACGCATTGCACGTTTAATTTCTAGGGTATACTTGTCATTTACAATAAGGCCAGGCATTTGCACGTTTAAATTTCTAGAGTAGGTCGCCCTTTACAACAAGGTCGTGTACTACATCTTTTATTTTTCATGTACTTTGTACTTAATCTTTCATGAACTACACATTTATTTTTCCAGGAAAAAAAAGAAAGAATATCTTTACAAGCTCACTAGATAAATCTATTCCGAAGTTCACATTTCAACTAAGATTTGCATCGTAAGCACTGTAAAGAGGGAGAAACTCGTCATAACCCAATTTTTTCCTTTAAAGGAAAAAAATAAAAAAAAGAATAATAAAACAAAAAAAGAAAAAAATATAAAATCTCCATAAAATCATTCAAAAATCTATTGAAATCTTTCACAAATCTTTTTTAATTAGAATCTCTTTATTTTTAGCTAGAAAAATCTCAAAATTAAGATTGATAATTAAAATTTGAATTTGAATTTGAATTGAGAGATTTTAGGAGGTTTCGGCCTATAAAAAGCTTTCGGATTTCAATTTGTAAAGGGGGAGAAAGAAAAAAAAGAAAAAATGCAGCAAAAAAAGAAACACGAAACAAATATACTCGAAAACCTAATTGGAGTTAGCCAAACACGCCCTAACCCGCTCACCAACCCGCTTACCAACCCGTTTACCCGATCGAACGTTTAACCCTCAATCCGATCATTTTTTAATCGGTTTTAACCCCAAACACCATACCCTCGTGTAACCCATCACCGAGATCGATCCATCAACACCGATTAGAGAGATAAAGCATCACGAAGGAGAGAGAAATCGAAAATCAAACCACCACGACCCGACTCGAAAATGATACCCAATCGTTTCTCTCAACTCCGATCACCAACACAAGAACCACCACCACGAACCGATCTTCGGTCTCCCCTAAGTGTTTTCATATAAAAATCTCAACCCAACGACACGGAAAAACGATTTAATTGAGCTCAATCCGTTTTCGATCCGTTTTGGAAACCCCAAAAAAATTGATCGATCTAGAAAGAATTGGAGGTCCTAACCATCATAGAAATCCTTCTCTCAACCTCACAAGTCGATCGGTATGCTTGAAATTCCAAAAGGAGATCGGATTCATCATCGGTGAAGAAAAGAGATCCGATCGAATCTTTGGAGGCTCCGATCTCCCTTCTCCGGCTTCGTCTCCGACCAATAGCACCACCGTTGAATTCGCAACGATTTGATCCGTAAGGATGGGTTGTCGACGCGCCCGAACGATCACCGGAAGGCGAATGGTCACTTGGCGGTGACCTTTGGTATTCCGGACGCATTTTTGTAATTTTGGTAAAAGTGAATTTTGGATTCGTTTGTGTTTTTTTTTTATTTTTTTATGTGTTTTGTAATAACTTTTTGTCTTATGCATGTTCGAAAATCTAGAGATACTTAGTTGTGAAATTTATTCTAATATGTGATGTTTTTTATATGATTAAACTATTGGATCAACGAGTCTCCTATTTATTAGGGACGGACGGTGATTTTAATATATTTAATTTCTTAAAATTTATTTTAGTTGCTTTCATTTAATTAAAATCTTAGAGTTTTTTTTAAGAAAATAAAAAAAATTAGAAAAAAAATATATCCAAATTTTCAACGAAGTCTCCTACATGGTGGGACTGACGTCACACAAAAATCTAAAATTCTTGATGAAGTCTCCTATCCGATTGGGACTAATGTCACAAAAAAATCATTGTTTAAATCAAGATATCCTCCGACACACCTAGGTTGTGTCAAGGCTTAAAATGGATCCGATGTTTGAATCGACGTGTCGCCCGATGAAGGGGACCAACGATAATTTCAATACGATGCCATGCTCAAAACTAAAAAATTCAATTTGTTTAAAAATTCAAAAAATAATTTGATGTAAATAAAATATTTTAGAGCATAAATTTAGAGCTAAACCGAGTGTACCTTTCTTCGGAAATGACGCTTTTGGGTGATCGATATATTCCCAAAAGCATAACCAACTCCTTATCATAGAATCTATGAACCGATTGTCCGTTTTAGGTTCTTAGTTCCTTCAATACTAGGTGGCGACTCCAAAATCCGTAAATAAACTTGTAAATCTTCGCTCTAATTTTAGATATTTTCGAGGAGTCCCGTCCGAGCGTCGGGTAGCGACAATGATAGTAGAAGTTAATTCATTTAAGAATAATCTCAACTCATTTAGTGCTTGCCAAACATTTTTTGATAATAGGTCACAAAATATGATAGGTATTAACCTCTAAATATATACATGACAATCATGACTTTTCATGCCATGCAATCCGAGGTCATATTGACACATCTAGTCGAGTTCGATACATATCCATAAGGAAACCTCGGTTGTTTAATCCATTCAAATAATTATATTTTTTTGTTGTTTTTCTAGAGTATAACATGCTTTAGAGTATTTTCTACGGTTTTCATCTCTTTCTAATTCTAGTCGCCAATAATGAATTTTTAAGTTTTTTTTTCTAAAGTTTGCACTATCTTTTATTTTCTCTAACACACTTATAATTATATTAAATACATTGTCGAAGACATGTTTTTTAATGTGTATCAAATCCAAATTGTGTTGAATTAAATTAGAACTCCAATAAGAAAGATCCTAGAACATACTATATTTCTTCCAACCATAAACTCTTGATATATTACTATTACACTTTTCGAAACCCTCTTCTATGACTTTCAACAACTTCCAATTTTGTATTTCTTGCAAAATTTCTATTCCCGACATGATTAGAAGAGCAATGTCTATGAAACTATGTATTTTTTATATACTTTTGAAAAAACATGTCATAAATATTAAAATGTATGTAGCTTGTGTTTTTATGGTACAATAAGCCTAGGTTTTTTGTGTGGTGAAAATTTCATGAATCAAAAATAGGGATTTAGCTTTGCTCTATTCATGTCAATCCTAATTAGAGAATACTTAAGTGAAATTATTTGTTAAGGAAAAAAAAATTATATAATGTTAAACAATTATATATTACTATTGATTATTATGAAAAAGAACTAAAGTAAAATATGATTTTACTATTCATTTTCACCATTTGAAACATTATTCACACATTTGCAAATCACTATTCACAACTCATAAATCACTATTCCTTTAATTATTCATGCAATTTCTTTAGCACTCGGTCCTCAATTTTTCTATACTTTTATTTTCAATTATAAACTTTAATTATATTATGATTTGGTCTAATTTTGTTTTAGTGTTTTCTTTTAATTAGTTTTATTATTTAAAATTTATTAATTTAATTTGTCATTTTTTTAATATAGTCATATGTTATTAATATTATGATCATATTATAATAATATTATTTTTTTACACTAAGCATTTACTATTTATTTATTTTTGAATTAAATAATTAAAATAATGTTTTGGCTTAATCAATCAATGATTCAAATTAATATAGTTTTTTTATTTTAATATTATTCATTCTTTTTTAAATAAATATATAAAATTAAATTCATATTTTTTTCAAAAATCGATATTCTCATCTACATTAAATAAAAATAAAAAAAATATTTATTTAATTATATGCAAGCTTTTAATAATTATTATTTTTGTCTTTTGACACAATCTTATGAAATACTAAAGCTTTTAAAAAAATATTTAATTTTTTTTAAGTTAATAATCTATGAATTAACAATGATAAATCCTTTTTCTAAATAAAAAATTATAAAAAAACACAAATAAGAAATAATTAAATATAAACTATTTGATTAAAAAATTATAAATATATTTTTTCATTTTTGATTTCATATATTTTTATAAACTCATATTATAAAACAGACTATTAAGTTAATATAATTTTTTTACATAATTTTATGTATTTTATTCAATTTATAATATAATATGGACAAAAAAAATCTAGTTACCTGTATAATCCCTCCTAGGTTTTGGGGTATTATAAGATGATTGTATGGTATGTCCTCTTATAGAAATGAAACCAACCGCCACCCCACTTAGTTTTAGTAGGCTGTCAGTAACTTTATTACATGTTATCGATGTGACCTGTTAGAAATAGTACCATCATAAATCGTCGAAAAGATTTTCAAATTGTTTGACATGAGTGCAGATAGAAGTGTAAGCATGCGAGTGTTGGAACCATTAGCAGAAGTGGTTTCTAATTTGTTCCAGGCATCTACAGATCTGGTGCAGTTGTTAATGGTGGGGCTGATTGTGCTGTGGATGGTTGCTTGGATTCTTAGCAGCACCAATCGATCTTGACAAAGCCAGTAGGTGTGATTTGGATCTGCTTGTGATGGACACAGTTGAGAGCCATCAACAAAACCAAGTAGTCCATAGCCAAACAAGAGGTTGGTCATTTGAGATTTCCAGGATGCTTAATTTCCTACACCCTTTGAGAGTTTTAATGGAATCTGAGATGAGGCATTAAGAGATATCAGATTTCCATTAGAGGGAACAATAGTGCCTTGAGCCTTGGTGTTTGTAGCTGTGGAGTTGACTGCTGGAGATCCGGCTTTTGTGTGAGATTGTGGAGGGGACTCAGGCAGCGTTGAATCTGTTTCTGACAGTGTTGACATTGGGAGAAAAAAATAAGGAGCTAAATGTTGTAGGGTTGGTTTAGAAATGGAAGGAGGGCAGAACGTTGCAGAGTTGGATTAGAGGTGGGAGGAGGAAATCTGTCAACTAGTTGGATTAGAGGTGGGAGGAGGAAATCTCTGTTCAGTTGAAAGAGTAAAGCTCTGATATCATGATGAAACTTTAGGAGAATTGTATATTTCTATTACTGATGAAATCTGTATTTTATACAAGGTACAAGGTCTGCATATGGAAGCTGAATTATGCATAATAAAGACTAAATAAAGAGATATTATAGTGATCCTATTATTAAGGAGGGTCAATTGGATATACATGGAAGGTCCTAAATCAGTGTTCTGTCACTAAGGCGGTTGAAGCAAAGTCCGATCATCGGATAAGAGGAATTTGTAATGTCCGGCCATGACTGTAAAATCCAATAACGGGCCTCAAACCCATTTCACATGCTTGGAGATGAATTTCAGAAAATCACATTATCTTAACGATTTTGGAATCTATGTAAATTATTTGTATCAAAGGCATTGCATAGTATTAATATTTCCTCGATACTACGATTACTTCCTTGCACTATAGCGCAAAAGATCGAATGATACCGTTGAGTGCTATAAGATTTTTTCGAACTTAAAAATTAATGTAAGAAGTGAAGTTTTTTCTTACAATTTAAATGTCTAAATATTCAATCATTTTCAAATAAAATAACCCAACAAAACTCATAAATATTAAGGAAATAATAAAAAATATAATAATAAATGAGATGAATTAAGTTAATCAAGTAAGAAATATTGTACTAGAAGTTTAATCAATCTAGTTGTACATCCATTTTTCTCTTAAAAAAACATACTGAAAAAATTTGTAACTTTGTCTTACTAGGCTGTTACTTACTATTTTATTAAGCAGTCTTCAAATTAATTAGTTGTCCTCTAACACTTGATGCATGCATCATTCATATTGATGCATCTTTGTCTTGCTAGCTAGGCTACATCTTACTATTTTATTTTAAATATTGTATCGTAACCATCATTGACTACTAAACTTAATGTCAAAAGCGTGCTTGAAGTTGAATATTAATGGATTCTTTCAATACTTATCCCACTGGTGGACTTGTTTTTGCCATTTAATTAGCCATTTGGCTTATATGTTGGATTTAGACGAATGCCAATACTTTTCTATGACCAAAAACTAGGATCACCTCTGCCCTCTTGCTACTTGTTTGATAATTAAGTTAACAAATTGCTTCATCAAATTTGATTAAAAAGTTTCCACAGGAGAGAGCTTTTTATCTTTCTTAAATAATCTTTCATTTTCTGAAAACAGATTTTATCATCTTCCATAACTTCTTCTTCTTCCTTTATTTGCTTTTTTTCCTGCTTAAGACGTCAAAGGTGCTGGAAACAGATTTTGTCATCTTCCATAACTTCTTCTTCTTTTATTTGTTGATTGAATGCTTAAGACGTACAAGATGCCTTCAAAGGCAATTAGAATGCTCCTATATTCATAGATGTTACGGCACGTCAATTTTGATTGTGAAAAATAAGTAGGCAGTTATGCAATACAAAAAAAAAAAAAAAAAGAAGTAAATTTTCAATGTATAGTATACAAAATTTCAGTGTTCAGTTACTGAAAACTCAGTTATAACTAACAACTAGTAATGTGATTTTTGTACTGAAAACTCAATTATAACTAACCATTAGTAATATGATTCTCTTAATTATTACTTAAAATATGGTAATAACATGCAAAAGCATAATATATCATCTAAATTTCACTGCATAAAGCAACAGGGATGAAGAGCCACTTGTGGTTGGAATATATGGGGACAAACATTTCTCAGTTAGATCACACGCTTTTCATCTGAAATCTTTTGTGGGTATAGGTAACCTCTCAGTTTCTGTGAAACCCTTTGTTAATAACCTTCTCTATTGTCCTTGTTCTGATGTGATTTTTTCTTTTCTTATTATTATTATTATTTTTTTTTTAGTGACGAATGATTTCCAATATATTTAGACCACTCTAGAGAATGGCAGGCAGGGGGGATGGTGACAAATTTAACACTCAGTTAAGGCCCTAAAATTAACCTTTGAGAGTCAAAGAATATTCTGATGGCACCTTAATTTTTGATACATGACATCAAAGTACAGATTCCACACTGCTGTCCCTACAAATGCCTTAACAAATTTGTTGTGTATATGTGCTGTGTGCTCTATTAATTAATGTTGTCGTGTGTCACCTTACCCTTAATTTCTGGAACTCAAATAAAGTTAACCTCCCCCGAATAGAAACTTTTTATTGGAATTTCTTTGATGGATCAAATGAGATTGTGCTTTGCGTATAAACCATCGTGTATGGTACACGATATATTTTGGGCTCTGATAGATCTTTGATTGATGATGAACTTCTTTTTCTTTTATTCATTGGAGAGTTATTAGACTTTGAACCATACAATGAAGATATTTTTCTTGTATTACATAATAATTAAACAAAATTAAATAATTAAAATTTAAACTTGCTTCATTAAAAAAAGATATAAATACACAACTGATATGTTATATTTGTTTGTATGAATATTAAATTTCTTGAATGTACCTTTTTTGCTGCTTAATTTTCTTTAATTTTTTTTTTTAGGAAAAATAAAGGAGAAATTTGACCTATAAACTATTTGGTAGAAAAGAAAATATGAATTTAAAAGCTCATTGGCACTTAATTAATGGATTTATCGATATTCTCATTCATGACATTTTATGACATTTCCATGATGATGATTCAACTGTACATTATTTTCAATTTTAAAAGTTTGAAAGCCAAAAATCAAAACCTATAAGATTTAAATTTTTAGGCCCTTGAATCTTATTAACAGAAAAATATTTTAATGGATCCTTATTGGTTGTTTTTATTTTTTAATTTTTTTTTGTAATTTTAATTTTGTATGATTCAATGGATATTTGATGGTTTGGTTTTCTATAAACTAGATCCTACATGAATTTGCTAGACATGACCAAGATCAGATAATCTGCTCGACCAAGATTATATTTTCTTATCTCTTTGGAAGGCTAGCAGGTATCAAAAGTCTTGCCACAAAAATAAGGAGTAATAATGATAATGGATATATATGGAAGGAATCAAGGAAACATGTGTGTTTGTTTGTGGCACTTGTTTGATTAAATTCTCAGCTCTCTTGCATTTTGACAGCACAACACAAATTAATAACAGGTTGGATTACATGCAAAAAAACAAATATATGAAGCTGTGATATATATACGTCAGGGCTAAGAACAGGTGACATTCCTCAGTTATTGCCTTTCTGTATTGCCTAATTTGAGAAACAATGACGATGCAGCCTTTTCTTTTTTTTTAGTTATGTGATCATTCTTCTCTTTGATGGCTATAACAATGACCAACTTTGACTGGAAAACGAATTAACAGTTGAGAACAGCTAAGCCAATGACGCTCAACTGCCATGCGTGTTCTTCTCTTCCAAAAAATCTCTGGTTCAGCTTCTGATTTGTAAAAGAAAGGGGGAAAAAAAGTTGAGCTGTAAAAATGAAATTGTTAAACAGTCAGCATATTAGAAATATTTCTTTCTAGCTGATTCTGCTTGCCTTCTCTTGATTTTCTATCCCAATTGATCAATCTCCTTAATTTGTTTTGTTTCTGAATTAGAAGTTTTGATATACTTAGGGTCACCATGAATGAATCTGTAACCTATAATACCAAGGATGGTTTGGAAGCATGTTATTATGTAAATCAAACTGGAGGCAATTATTTTCAAAGTACAAGTGCCTTGACGACATCTCTCCCTCTCTTTGTCCTCCAATTATCAGTTGTTCTTTTCACCACTCGGCTTCTCCTCTTGGTCCTCAAGCCTCTGCGACAACCCAGTATAGTTGCTCTTATTATTGTAAGCATCAAACTTGTTCTTCCTATTTTCTTTTCATTGTCAACTCTAATGATTTACACATTAATTGCTATTTCATTGTTCATTTTTTATGTTAATTATTAGTAATACAACAATTCATATACATATATATTGATCAATACTTATGGGAAGAACATTGCTTTTTCAAACAGAAGGGTATCATTGGATTAACTGAATCGAGACATCTAAATAGATCATTCACATCTGGTGGACTAGTACTGCATTTTCAAGAAATTATTTTCTCGTTTGTTTCCCTGAATTAGAACCGTGATGCCCAGTAACCAACCGGGCTAAACCTTTAGGGATGTGGGAAGAACAGCAAACATATGCACGCATATGCCGATGAGTTATAGTTCAATCGACATTGGTATTTATCTTTCTTTCAAAAGGTCTCGAATTTTAACCTGTTCTTCGCAAACAGAAGGGGAAAAAAAAACCCATATGCATGCAATCCATTAACCAAATATAGAGGGATAATTGATGGTATTAATTTTGTTTGATTGTGTATGCACAGGCTGGGGTGTTGCTAGGTCCGACAGGACTTGGAAATGCCTCGTTTTCAGAACACGTCCTTCCTTTCCAAGCTATCAAGGTGTTGGAAACATTTGCAAACTTGGCTCTCGTTTACTATATGTTCCTGGTTGGGTTAGAAATGGACCTAAACCTCATCGTGAACAGTGGATCAGAGGCTACTTGGATCGCCATTTCTGGAATTCTGATTCCATTTGGCTTTGGCGTTGTCTCATTTTATCTATTACTACTATTTGGTAGTACTGCAAAGGAAATCAGCAGCTTTAAGGTCTCCATATTCTGGGCTATTACTCTCACAGCTACCAACTTCCCTGACGTTACTCAAGTTCTCACAGACCTCAAGCTCCTTCGCACCGATATGGGAAGGTTGGCCTTGTCTACAGCTGTTAGCAGTGATTTCTTTACTTGGGTGCTTCTTGTAGTTGCAATGTCATTGTTGAATTCTCACCCATATTATGCTTTGCCATCTATCATTTTTTTCGTTTTATTCTGTGTTTTTGTGATCCGTCCGGCAATCTCAAGGTTAGCTAGACATGCTATCAAAGGAGACGACTTCACCGAACAACACATTTGGTTTATTTTGGGCTGGATTGTGTTTTTCGGATTCATCACTGATGCCTTTGGTTTGCATTCTATGGTTGGTAGTTTTATGTTAGGAGTTATTATGCCTCGTCGAGATCTTATCAAACTGAAACTCATGGAAAGGCTTGATGATTTTGTGACTGGGATTATGATGCCCCTCTTCTTCTTAACTTCTGGGACACGAACCAATGCTGGTTTTATGCTGAAGGAAACTCCATGGTATGTAATATTACTGATCTTATTCCTTAGTTTTGGAGCAAAGATACTGAGCACATTGCTCATCTTTATGTTGCACAACAAGCCACTGGAGGATGGTTTTGCTCTTGGCGTGATAATGAACACTAAAGGGGTTTTATCGATCATTATCCTTAATGCAGGCCGGAATATTGAGGTATCAACTATACATGTTCTGCAAAATTCATAGTTCTTTAATAGTATGGGAGATCAGGAATTTCTTAATTACATTAATTAACTAAAGATCATCTCATTTCTCAGGTTCTAAACAACCAAACGTTTACCTTAATGGTGTTTTCAGTCTTGGCCATGACTTGTTTGGTGGAGCCAATAATTTCTTCCACATATAAGCCTAGAAAAAATTTGCTAAAATATAAGCACAGGACCATAGAGAGTGTGCTGGCTACCGGTGCAGAGTTTAAAATCCTTGCATGTGTTCATTCAAATCGGGATACACCAGGCATGATTAGCCTCCTCGAAGCCTCTAATGCCAGCCAAGAATTCCCTATTTATGTGATTGCCGTCCACTTGGTAGAGCTGACCGGAAGGGCTATGGCGATGTTAATTGTTCATGACCAATGCAAGACAAGCAAAAGCAAACCTATCCGTGCAAAATCAGAATCGGACCAAATTATTGATGCTTTTGTATCGTACGAGAAGAGAAACCGAGCTGTGTCTGTTCAAACAATCACTGCAGTATCACCTTATGAAAATATGCATGAGGACATTTGCAGCCTTGCGTTGGACAAGCGCGCTTCCCTCATCATCATACCATTCCAAACAATCTTAGCTGCGGACGGCCAAATAGAGGATGCTAAATCTACTTTTCCAGCTACGAACCAATATGTGCTGGAAAATGCACCATGTTCTGTGGGTTTACTGGTTGATCGTGGACTCAGTTCCATCACGCAGATAGATTTCGCAAGGAACAGTACTAGCTCGAAAGGGCTCAGAATTGCTATGATTTTCATTGGTGGCCCTGATGACAGGGAGGCATTGGCTTATGCATGGCGAATGGCAGGCCATCCCGGAGTAAATTTAACGGTGCTTCGATTTCTTCCAGGTAGAAAAGTAGCACAATCCGATTCAGAAAACAGATCAAGCCATGATGATGGGATATTTGATTCCTTGACATTTGAGGAGAGGGAAAAGAGGCTCGATGAGGAGTATACATATGAGTTCATGTTCAAAACTCTTGATGTCGAGTCCATTACTTACACAGAGAAAGTGGTAAATAATGGGGATGAAACTCTTGCGGAAATTAGACGACATGATGCAGATTTTGATCTTTATATAGTTGGAAGAGGGGAGAAAACAAGATCAGAGCTCATATCAGGGTTATCAGACTGGAATAGCTGTCAGGAATTGGGAACCATGGGAGATACACTTGCTTCATCAAATTTTGCATCACATGCATCAATCCTTGTGGTGCAACAACACGTCCCCAAAAACTATAGTGCAACCCCTGAAGGATTTTCAGCACTCATTGGTTCATCATCTTGGCAACCACTTATGGCTAGTGGTAGGGTTTCCTCTGGCAATACTACTGGCATTTCACACTATCATGTTCATGATCAAGACGAAGATGATGATGATGATCATAAATAATTTGCAAAGTTCTGCAGTATCAAGGCAATCTGATGATGAAGTCCAGTCATCAATCAAACAAATTTGGAAGCATTATCGCTGGTGGCAAAGACTCCAAAATATATTCAACTTAGTCAGTAACAAGAGATATATTTCAATATTGTATGTAGCTATTATATTATAGTCTATACTTGTCAAATACAAACATAAGGTGACAATACTAAATAAATACACACAAATCTTACTCTTGCAAAGACTCACCATTGTGTGAGCTATTCAAACTCTATCTCTATCATTCAATTTAATATCAGAGCCTCCCTATAACACTGCAATAATGGCTTCTAGCATTTCCACTTCCTCTGCGACTCCCAAAAACACCACTACAATTTTCCAAAAACCACCCAAAATAATGTGACTCAGCTCACAAATGCTCATCATTTTATTTCTCTTAAACTATCCTCAACAAATTATATTTCCTAACGCACTCAGATGAGACCTTTTCTTAATGGAGCAAGGCCTTTTTGGATTCATTAAAAGCAGCAACGAATGTCCTCCTTCTCACACCCTTTCTCCATACACTAGCATATCCCAACAACACCCTTAATTTACTTCTAAGACCAACTACTAATGAGCACACTCATTGCCTTTTTGTCCATAGAAGTTATGTCCATTGTTGTTGGTTATGACACTTCTCATAAAATTTAGACCTCACTAGAGAGTGCCCTCGCCTCCTTCTCCAATACCCGTACAGTGAATCTTCATTTTGGCCTCCAACGACTCAAGCAAAAAGATACTGAAAGTGTTACTCAGTATATACAATGGAAAAAGTCTTACAGTGATGAACTAACTGCTACAAGAAAGCTTTTCTCTATGGTTGATTTCAACCTCTATGTCTCTCGGGGTTTATCTAGAGATTTCAAAGACTTGATCACAACTCTAACCGCGCCACCTAATTTGGTATGCTTTACTGAATGGCATACCTAGCTTTTAAGTCATGATTTCTTGTATAGGGACTCTATACAATTTGTTCCCCCATCTAGAACTCATGATCTTTCCTCTTCCACTCCCACAACTAATTACACTTAAAGAGTAGGAGGTTACAATGACCAAAACTCCTTCTTTGACTGAACAAACTATTCTGGTTCTCCATTTGGCTGTGGTAGGGGTTGTAACCAAAGAGGCTATTGGCATGGGAGGATCTATGTCCGAAACAACAATTTCTCTTATGGCTGGAAAAATTCTGATTCCAGATTGCACTGTTAGCTATGCAATTCTGGTACCCATAGTGTTGTTAATTGCTCTCAAAGGTACGTCCAATCTACTACCTATTCGGCAAATATGGCTATTTATCCTCTTACTTCTCCTAGCTATCATACATATCCCAAGTGTCCTGACATTGGGGCCTCACATCATGTGACCCTTGAAATAGCTAGCAAGCCTGAGTCATTATGCGTCATGTCATAGATCGGATCAATTGCAAGTAATGATAAGTTTATTCTAATAAAAAATATGGCTCTACTCATCTTTATACACCAACTAGAATTTTAAAAATGTTTGATGTATCACAAATCCCAAAAATTGCAAGCCCTTTACTGTCTGTTAAAATAGTAGCCCATGACAATAATTTATTTTGAAAATTTCACATCTTTGCTTTTTGTGTTAAGGATAGATGTAGCAGAAACAACTAATCTCTAAATTGAGTAAGGATGATATGTACGTACTATATGGCTCTTCAGATCCAAAAGCTTTTTATGTTCAAACCTCTTATTATAGCACTCCAAATTAGGTCATCGCATAATCGAGTCATAATTTTGTTTTTCAAAATAATAAGTTGCCACATATTGGTAACAACTTCAATGGTCAATGTGTCTTTTGTCCATTAGAGAAATCATATAGGTTGTCTCTTAGTTCAACTAAATATTATAGTGATAATGTTTTTAGATTTATTTTTTTAGTGATGTATGGGGACTTTCGCACATTCCTTCAATTGATGGTCATAAATATTATTTGGTTTTACCCTAGTTATAAAGACTTTAATGTCTTTAATATTTTTATTCCGTTTCAAACATTGATAGAAAGACAGTTTAATTACAAAATTTAAAAAATCCAAATAGATTAAGGAGTTAATTTTTAAGTCAAGATTGATCTCTAGCAAGGCATCATGGCTACCCAATTCTTTAGGAGGATGAATTAATCTATAATTATCTTTTACGAGCATGATTACCATACAATTCGAGTCCTCATGTCAACTTATCAAAGTGTGATCTCGAACTTAGTTGTTAGTCTTGTTTGATCACGATCACATAAGTCTTTTTCGATTCCTAAATGTCTTAGCTCTTAGTATAAACCAACTATGCTCTATTGGTGTACTTCTACTATGGCCAAAGACTTCTTGAGCGTACATTTATTGAAGTACAATGTGATAACTACTTTAGTATACAAGAAATAACATGTTCTACTTATTTATCCATCTACTTCTATTAGATTCTTAGTGCACTCAATAAATCATCCTCGTGCAACCCTTTACTAGGTCCATCAAAACGAGTGTCAAAGTACATAAATCCTCCAATGAGTTATTCGTGATGATTAAAAGTCTAAGAACTAGTTATACCTATTTCGTATGAGATTCCTATAGACTAAGCCGAATAGGTTCTTATGGTGAGTCAAGTCCAATGATATGTTCGTGAACATGAATCGCCTAAATGCTTGCTTTGGCATCATCATGTCAATAGGTGTGAGATCTTTTCTGCTGTCATATAGCATAAGCATAGCACTAACAAGTCTAACAACATCTTGTCAATATCCATTCTTGATAATACTATGACTTGGGACATTTAATGATATCATTTATGTGTATTAGTGTTTATCTTATATTTTTCGATCAATCACCAATGCAAATACATATCATAAGGATTTTTATCTGATTCTATTGAATAAATAAACATAAAGCATAATAATTAATAGAAAGACTTATTTATTATTAATAAAATAAATGATGTAATAATATAATAACTCAAATTAATCCAAACTTAATTGGAACTTGGGTACCTACATTAACAACTACGCCCATCTACACTCATGGAATGCTCCTACATTACATTGGTCTTCCAAAAAAAACATTTTTATAATTTTGTCACCTCTCCTACTTGAGCCGACTTGTTATTCACAAGCTAAAAAATATCAAAAGTGGCGGTATGCCATGGTTACCAAAATTAATGCACTCGTTTCTCATTGGTTCATGGTCCATAGTCCTTCGTATTGTTGAATATCATTAAGTGTAAATGGGTTTTATATACAAAGAGGAGAGCTTATTCCAATATTGAAAGACATAAGATACGATTGGTGGCTAAATTTTTCCTTCAATAAAAAAAGGTAGATTTCGTAGAAAATTTTAGTTCGATTGTAAAACTAGCAACCATTTGATGTGTCCTCTCTTTGGTAGTCACAAAGGCATGAATAATTTGAGAACTAGATGTCCATAATGTCTTCCTAAATGGAATCTTAGATGAGGAAGTCTTTATAGAACAACCACCTAGATTCATTCATGATCATCGTCCAAGTTATGTATGTAAGTTAAATAATTTATTATACGGTTTAAAAAAGTCTCATAGAGCGTAGTTTATACGTCTCCATGACTTTCCGTTAGAGTTGAGTTTTAATACATAAAAAAAACTTCTCCCCAGTCTTCTATAATAGACACTACAAACATATGATGATATTGGTGTACATGAATGATATCATCATTAATAGGGACTCTATTTTTTCCATCTACTCAATAATTGTAGACTTGAATCATATGTTCTCCATTTGTAACTTAGGAATCATGAGTTATTTTATTGAATTAAATCTATTCACATCTCCGATGGTCTTTTTCTATTAGTGAAGAAGTATGTAGACAACACTATAAGAAAATTGACAATTAGTGATGGATTTTAGTGATGGATAACATTTTATCCTTGAATAGCTATCAATTAATGATGGAATTACAAGGAACAAGAAGAATGTTAATTTAGTGACTAATTAGTGACAAATCAACGAGTGAAAATTTGCGATGGAAACTTTTCCATCGCTAAAAATAGCAGAAACAACATGTGCCACAATTAGCAATGACATTATGTCGTTATTTAGAGACACAATAATCAATCCATCACTATTTTCATCGTGGGGTAATGTTTCATCGCTACTCATCGCTATCCATCCTTAAATAGTGACGATTGAATCCGTTACTAATTCGAGAGGATGTTATGGAATTCGAGATGGTGAAACTGTGGTTAGTTTAAAAATCAAATTAGCAATGGATATGTTGATCCATCACTAGTTAGCGATGGATTATTAATCCATTACTAGTTAGGTAGATTTCTCAAAGTTTCCACAAAATTTGGCGGACATTTAAAATTCAAATTAGTGACGGATACGTTGATCCGTTGCTAATTAGGGGCGATTAAATCCATTGCTGATTGGATAGATTTCTTAATGTTTTCGGAGAAGTCTAACGATCATTTGGAATTCAAATTAGCGATGGATTAGCAACAAAAATGTATCCGTCGCTAATTTTTCAGCTTATAAACCCATTGTTTCTCTTCTTCCTTCCTCATTTCACCTGTTCCCTCTTCTACCTACCTCTTTCGCCGACCCCTAAAACCACCCCTACGCCAATGAACACCACCTCACGCCACCCACTCCTTCCTCAAGCACATTCAATCCGACGAAGAGCGGTTTTCTAGCGAATATTCGTCCCTCTTCCCCCTTCATCTCATTGGTTAGTGTTTCTCTCTCTAGATCTAAATTTTTTTCTTAGTTAGATTAATGTTCATTTTTTTTATTTAATTTTGTTATTTGTTCGATTACTTTTTTGAATTATTAGTGTAATTTTGGTAGTTGTTAGTTTTATTATATATGTTAATTATTAGTTTAAATTTATTAATTATTTATTTAGTTTTGTTAATAATTAGATTAAATGTTTTAAGTGTTAGTGTTAGGTTAAATTTTATTTATGAAATTTAGATAAAGTAGATTAATTG